TCTTAAAATTTAAACTGCCTTCTCTCTGTGAAAATGTATTGAAATGTGAAATATTCAAATGTGAGTATTCCAACTTATTTCACCATATTTAAGAAATGGGTTCCAAGCAGAACATCTGAACATAATTTTCATAGTCACTAAGAATTCATGAGCCAATTTTATGTCATCAACAGTAAATCTGCAATTATTTAACATATTCCATTAATAGGAACGATAAACCATTGGCCATTTTAAAAATTGTTTGACAATCCTGTGGAGATTCCTTGATACTTTTCCTGTCTCCAAATATTAAGGATAAAAAAATATATTCTATATCTTTTCTTAACTGATAACAGCAACTACATATGACGTGCCCATTGCTCAAGCCAGTCCTTCTATACCTGGATTATCTGGGTTATCTGAGGGACTGCTTCTCCCTGATTACATCAGCCCATTCCATTATAACTGGCAAAGAAGGTATGTTGTGCCGGTACCATCTGCTAGGGACTTACATTTGGTTTACAGTGGTGGGATTCAAAATTTTTACTACCGGTTCTGTGGGCATGGCTTGGTGGGTATGGCATGGCTTAGTGGGTGTGGCTTGGTGGGCGTAGCAGGGGAAGGATATTGTAAAATCCCCATTCCCTCCCCACCCCACTAACCTGCTTTCCAGCTCTGTTCTCCTGTGCAGGGCAACAAAAGAAGACCCAGCCGATCAGCTGAGACTCAGGAGGCAGAGAATAGATGGGGGTGGGGCTAGTCAGAGGTGGTATTTGCCGGATCTCCAAACTACTGAAAACTTCTGCTACTGGTTCTCCAGAACTGGTCAGAAACTGCTGAATACCTCCTCTGATTTGGTAGGGCTGAGGAGGCAGGACTGGTACCTGCCTTATGGATCATAGCCTTCCCTTCTCCCCCACCACCAAAAAAATATATTAGGTTATCTCCATCCTTGTTAATATTTTGGAAATCCCTCCAGGCCTAGTTATGTCATCAGGCCTAGAGGGCCCAAGGAACCAGAGATTCTTACATGGCTCCACTGTGGTTTCTATACTGTATTCACTCGCTCCCTGTGGGTTAGTATATTTAAAAGTTTTAATAATATTCTAATTTTTAATAATGCTTTTAATGTTTTATAATGTTGTTATATTTTTATTCGATCATTGTATGCATGATATTGTGAATCATTTCAAGATGGGCAGTCATATAAATGTTATTAATAAGTTAACAATGAAAGTGGACCTTCTTTATACATTTTCCTATTCTTTACATCCTACTTCAATGACTTCATCTTTAATGCTTAGATGTACCATATTCCCATCTGTTGGTTCCTCAACTGTCTCAGTTCAGTTTCCTTGAGGAAGAGTGTTTTCCTAGGATTTGTGGATTGGTCAAATGTTTACACCTTATATGTATACTATTGAAACTCTGACATGATTTTCCCAGAGTGGAGGAAACTGATGATGTCTCTGAAAAATTGAATATGTCATAGATTAATATCCTACCTATTAGTGACTTCATATTCCTATTGTGCAATAAAAAAGCAACAAATTATCACACTATACCCAAAATTATTTCGTGTATTGATGACTGCTTTAAAATCTGCTATAAACTCAACCCACAAAGGATACAGATATCGTCTTCAGAGGTTGTCCTCTTCTTTAACTTTCAGTGGCTGAGCCCCTTTCTATCAGATCTATGATTTTTTTTGCAAAACTATGCTCAATTGATAATAATCTTGACAGATTCCAGAATGTGGTCCTTCATCAGCTTCTTCCTTGCAATTTTCCTTGCTTTAAGAGCAGAAAAGAACCATTCAACTACTACAGTGAGTAGTTTCACATTGTTCACTCCAATTTGTCTGCAGATATTTCCAGAAGAGGCTTTATAGGGTTAATCACTTCCACGGCCCTTCTTCCATTGTTTCTTTTAATATAGCAAATACACTGATAAGGGAGATGAAAATGCTGCAGTGTCTTTTTCCTTACAAACCAATTTCCATTTAGTTTGCTACACTCATCTGAAGTCTTCTGGTTACTCTAACAAATGAGTTAAAGTGATGACTAAGACAGTAACCCTCTTCTTATTATGGCACCATTTTCTTTTTAAATATGAAGAAAATTAACAAGGGTTATTGAACATTATTTGCTGCTAATGTGATGCTACCAAATATAGCAATATTTCTCAACCTGGCAAGTTTCAAATATATGGACTTCAACTTCCAGAATTCCCTAACCAAACTTCCTGGCTTGTTGAAGTCCACACATCTGAAACTTGCCAAGGTTGAGAAACACTGCTATAGTATATACTGTGATTTATTGTTGCAATTGCTAGCTTTTATCTGTATTTTATGCTGCAGCCAAATATTGATTTTACACTATATATATATATATATATATATACTAACAGAAAGACTTCCCTAGAAACTGTTGGGTGATTAATAATAATAGCAGCAACAAAAGGGTTTTTTGGGGGGTGGAATGTTAAAGCTCCATGACTAACCACTGAACTGAATAGGAGAATAGAAGGGCTAAACACACACAGGAAAATACAGTAGTGAGTGAAGCATCATCTCTTCCTTATGGTCAACTTCCAAATGAACTGGACTGAACTCATCTAACAGAACTAGGGTTTATATTGGGGATAACTATGATTCAATGTTCAAGCATCCATTGGTAGAAGTGGTTGGAATATGATTTTGTAATAAAAAGCAAGTCATACCAATGAAAAAGTTCAGATTTTATGACGGTGACTATTTGGAGATGAATTTTTTTTTAAAAAAACACCATTTTTTAAATTAAACTTATTTTCTGCCATCTTGCTGTCATGCGATTCCAGAATCAGCAAGATGGGCAGAAAATAAATTTAATAAAGATTATCTGTCTGTCTGTCTGTCTATCTGTGATCTCCTCTCGCTATTTCTCACTAATGGGGACCAACTCTACATGTTCAAGTTAAAACGCTAGCTGGGAAAAAAAATCCTACCATCATCGGATCTTTATTCTTTCTTTCTTGTTCTTCCTTTTTGGAAGAATCTACCTATTTGTCTATCTATCATACCACCTTTATTTTCATAGATAACTCTAGGCGGCAAACATACCTAATATTCTTTCTTTCTCCTCTTTTTCCCACAACAACCCTGTGAGGTAGGTTGGGCTGAGAGTGACTGGCCCAAAATCATCCAGGTAGCTTTCATGTCTAAGTCAAGACTAGAACTCATAGTCTCCTGGTTTCTAAGGGTACCTTAGCCATTAGACCAAATACATACACTATTAATTGTAACTTAAACCATTCATTTTTCCCCTTCACTGAGAGAATAGGCATGTTACTTTATCTTCCCAGTAACTTTGTAGCTGAGATATAGTGAGTACCTCAAGTTTATATGGCTGACTAGTGACTTGAACCCAAGTCCTTGTCTTCAGTCAATGTTCTCCCTCTCCCCCTTCCTGTCTCTCTCTCTCTCACACCAATGCCCAACACTGTAATTTAGCCATAATGATTGGCTGCTAATGCTACAATTTACGTAACAAAAAAACCTTTTATATGCAGTGTGTGGGTGATTTTAAGCCCACTGCCCAAATCACAAAACAAGCATAGAATGTTTATAAAAAATACATTGTGGAACTTAAGCAGGCAGCTCCCTTTTAAAGAGTACTTACAATTTAAATCTAATTAAACAACCACAACTCAAGAAGCAATGAATGAACTGGCTAATTGCAACAAGTGTTAATCAAATAAAGCTCAAACGGTAAAGCAGCATTTTGCATCCCAAGGTTTATTTCCAGTTTAGAATTCTTTAACCAACTTAATTCACATTTGCTGATGTGAGGGCTTCTGAAAGTCACCCCATCTAGCAAAAGTGTGAAACTAAGAAAAGCCTCCCTCAGGGGGGAGAAGGGTGAGGGGGGAAATATCTTTTTATGTTGTTGTTGTTGTTGTTGTTGTAAGAAAAACTTTTCCCAAAACAACAGGAATCCAGAAAAGAGAGATATTACAAAAAAGGAAGAACAGGAAAGAAAGAATAAACGTCCGAAAGAATCCGACGACGGTGGGGTTTGTTTGTTTGTTTGTTTCCCAGATGGCGTTTCACATAAACACGAAGAGTCAGGCTCCCCCGTCAGCGAGAATTAGCGAGAGAAGATCGCCGAGTGGCTTGCTTTCTAGCCAGGCTGCCTCTTTCCGAAACTGACGGGAGATATACAAGCGGGGGGAGGGAAAGCGAGCAGCTCTCCAGATGGTTGGAGAAAGTGTTTGTCTTGGGTTACTCGAGGGCGGTCTGGACTTTTAAAGGAAGCAGCCGTGGGGAGCGGCTCGGCTTGGGAGCAAGTGGCACGTCCACTGTATAAAAGAGAGGTGGGGGGGAGGAGGAAGAGGAGGAGGCGGGAAAAGGCAGGAAAACGAAGGCAGCCTGCTGCTCAAGAGGAAAAGGACCCGAGGATAGTTAACATATACTTGACCCCCCCCCCCCTCCACCGTCCGCCCCGGTTTTTCCCTTTCCTCCCGACACAGATGTCTCCTAACTCTATCACCTCCCACTGCTTTAAGCCCTCCCTTCTGCACCTGGGTAGCTGAGCCAGGCCAGCTGCTTGCAGTCGGCTGCTTGACTTTAGAGGTGGCTGTAGAAGAAGAAGAGGAGGAGGAGGAGGAGGAGGAGGGGAGTGGGGGAGAAAAGAGATCCAGGCGCACTCACCCACCCACCCATACACGCGCGCACACGCACACACGCGGAGACAAACAAACAAGCCGGCGGAGACGCTCCTGCAGGGCGGGTCTGCGCAGCCATTGCATGGAGCGGCTTGCCCAAGGCGGTCGGGCGCAAAGGAAGCCCGCCGACCTATTCGCGAGAGGCAGCAAGCGGGCGCCTCGCCGTTGACAGCGCCGGACGAGCGGCTGCCGCTGGGATCTTCGGCTCGCCTGGGGCTCGCAAAAAAAAGAGGATCTCTGGGCGGTCGCTGTCGGACTCTTCGGCTCGCTTCCCCGCTTTTTTGTTTTTAGTTTTTATTTATTTTTATTTTTTATTTTATTTTTTGCTTTTTATTTGTTTGCGCCGGGGATGATTCTGCAAACCAGGTGTGATCGCTCCAGGCTCTCGGCGCGGCCCCTCCAGTAAAAAGCTCCCGCAAGCCAAACCAAAGCTGCCCGGACCGGAGGAAGGACACAGCTGGACTTTGGGCTTTTGTGTTTGTTTCCCGTTCTCTCTCCCCCCCCCCCTTGCCCTTTCCTTTCCCGGCGTTTGGACTCGAGTGCGCGGTCGTGTGGACCGGGGTACTCCGGATTGGCGGGGGGGGGGATTTAAAAAGAAGAAGAAAGAAAGCGAGGTTAGCCCTCCGCCCCCCCTTCTCTTTCCTCGCTCGCCTTTCTCCGCCAGCCGGCCTGGGGCTGTCGGATCTTCCTCCAAGAAGGACGGGAACTTTTTATTTTCAGCGCTTTCGGCCTGTGGCGAATGGTTGGAGTCTCCAGTCCTTTTCGGTGTAAGTATCTCCGCTGCCGCCGCCTCCGCCTCCCCATCCCCGGCAAAAAACGTTTGGAGATGATAGGAGAGAGCCGCGCTGTTAAGAGCCTGGGGCTGCGTTGAGGACCGGATTGGTGGGGGGGGGGGGGCAGGCGGGGAAATCCTGAGCCTCTCCCCCGCGCCGCTGGTTAAACCAGGCGGGCTTCCGCCTTGAAGCCTCTCAGATGGAGGCTTCTCTGAGCCTGTCAAGAGGTGGGGGTTGCTGGGCAAAAAGCTTCAGCGTCGGTTCTGCTTTCTGGCCCGATCGACATGCGGGAGAGAAAAGTTTTAGTCCTCCGTTAAGTTCCGCCTGCCGTCTAGATCGGGGGCGGCAAGCGGCGTGCCTCATACAAGGCTTAAATCTGAGTTAATAGGAAATAGACCGAGATTTTTCCTCTCTCTCTCTTTTCCCGAGGGGAAAAAAAAAAAGTACAGGAGCGCCTCTGAGCATGTACGGAATGATTTCGTTGAACGCCGAATAATAATCATAGCGGTGCTTACTTAGGCGGGTGTGGGGAGGGCTAACTACTAAGTTACAACGCCGATTTCTTTCCTATAAACGTGCTTGTCCCCGTGGGAAGTTGTTCCTTGCTGGGTACGAGTTAGTACGATGCAAGATTGTTTGATAGATTTTAAACGCCCGTAGTGATGGCTTTGCTCTATAGGTAATCGTCAGGATAGATACGGGTCAGGCACGTTCTACACCGGACACGATATAGAAATGGTATCAGAAGGCACCCTATATTTGCTTTTTTGCAGAAATGCATTTCAGGTAAGATGCGCTAGGCATTGCTTTTTCAAATCCGAAACTTTTGTAAGTGTCACTACAGTAGATATCAATATAGAAGGAGAAATTCACAGAACTGTGTATTGGCTGTAAAAAAAAAAAAAAAACCCAGCCAATTGAAAGTTCTAATTAAATTACTTTCAGAGATACTGGTTTTATGAAAAGGGGTCTGAATGCAGTTTTCTAAATGTATTGCATACGCCTAGCTAAACAAGTTTACTTAGAAGTAAGTCACTGAGTTCAGTGGTTCTTCCAGGTAAGTGTATAGCATTTGGGACAGAATTGCAGCCTAAGCTTATAAATCACTGATATGTTTCCTTTAAAAACATCGCAATTCAAAAATCATAGAGGATATACAACTGATCACTAACCATTTTCATTGATTTGAAGTTTTATTCATTTTACTGTTAGGAGAGGCTGGTTAGGAAATCTCTTCAACCTATATTGGATTTAAATTAGCATATATGGGCCAAGTTCTTTTATTCTTTAGATGTAAGCGGACTATTATTTATCCTTGGACCAGGTATGCCCTGAAATAGGTGACTATCATATGCTGAATTACACCTTTGAACTACTTTTTTTTTGACAGCACATCTGGTAGTAGGATAGTGCATGTTACTTGGAAACAAGTCCCATTGCACTGTACAGGACTTACTCCTAGGTAAATGCATAAATATGCAGCCTTAGATTAGCTTTAGATTTTATATTGCATTTTATTTATTTATTTTTAAAGGTGGGGGATTTCCTAAGATGTATAACGATCTGGCCCACCTCCATGATGGATGACTTTTGAGTCTTGGAATGCAAAAAATCATGTACTTAATGTAACTCTGACCCCTTTAACTTTTAACATTGCTTCCCCTAATTAATCTGTTCAGGTCCCATACTTAAATGGCTGTCTACAGCTGCTGAAAATTGATTTATTCCCTGATGGTGGTCCCAGTTGCTGACCAAATCATTTTTTTCCTTTCAGTTCTAGACAGATTTTTTGTCTGTTTTGATGGTTTAATGAATGTATAGTTTTGAAATAAACTCCAAATACCTTTGAAATGCATAGTTTTGAAATAAACTCCAAATACCTTAATAGCCATGTCAGAATTTTATCCCTTGAATATTTGTGTCAGCATAATGTACTTCAGATGCTCCCCAAATTGGTACCTTTTTAGACATGATGGCATTATTTGTTGAGAAGGATGCTCTTCATACTGCTTTGATGGACTCTGTACTTAGTTTTTATTCAGCTAATTAATGATTAGAAAGACTGTAGAAAATAGATAGCGATAGCATGGATGGTATTTTTATGGTTCTAGATTTAATGGTTGAATCATAATAGATAAATGATAAAAGCTGTTGCTTTTCTGAGAGAAGCTGGAAAGATTAGTTTAAATAATTCTGGAATGTTTTCCTGCATAAAGCTAACTGACATGATTTTCTGTAACTATATTTTTTGAAAATAATTGTTTTCCAAAGACACTTTTCTAGAAACCCAAACGCTATTTGGTTCTACTCAGAAGCACATGCCAATAACCAGTCATTAAATTAATGACAGGAGATGGGAAAGATAGGTGGCTTCTTCAAGCCTCACCAATGATTAAATTATTCACAAGTATTCTCTTTAAAGTATTGGTATGAAACTTTTCAAGACGGCATATCAAATTTCATTGTGCATGATGAATCAGCTTGGTCAATTCTACCTCTCCCTTTCTAACTCCAGTCCAGTACTGTGTAACATTATAAATATAGTTCATTGTTTAGTTTAGAAACCCTATAGCAACAACTGGATGGAAAATCAAATCTTCATTCACTTACATATGAGAACTACTTCACTTTCAAAATCTTATGAATGAACCAATAGACAAGTAGTAATTCTGTTTTGCAGTAGAATGTAGTTAATGACATCAGGCGATTTCATTCCAGTATATGCTGCTATTCAGCTTGTTTTTCTTCAAAAGTATCCATCATTCCAGCGTTCCCTATGTTATTTTTGAAATAGCATTTTCCCATTCCCATTGTTAAGCTACTGCCTCCACTAAAACATCACAAGTATACCTTTGTCTGTATCAATTTGTCATCATGTTTCTCCAGGACATTGTATCTTATGCTGAAAAGTACTGTTTGTTGCATGGAAAAAGGAAGTAGGAAGCCCAGGACACCTGAAATAGCGGTCAATGGCCAGCAAGCTTAAGGAATTCTTCTCTGTCAGCTCCTATTTCTCACTGTTTTGAAATGGAGCTCAGCTGACAGCCACTGAAAGGAGAACCACTGTGGAGCATTTCTTTAGGAAGCATTCTGAAAGTAGTTTACATTGCAGAGAGGGAAGCCCTCTTGAAATTGGGGTTTGTTCATACTTCAACTTTGTTTACTGCAGTAGCCCCAGTGCTGTTAAATATTAGATAATTCCAAAGGATTTATAATTGGTAATCAGCATGCCAATATGAATCTTTTTTTAATAAATATTTTCCAGTGCCCCCATTCAGTTAAATTTGGAACTACTCAACAGAAATAAAATAATTGTCTATTGTTCGATGAAGGTGATTTATTATGAATTGGCTTTGCCCAGAAGAAGTTTTAAAAAATGGTCTTTTTCTCGGAAGTGATCGTTATGGGAGTTTTACTATCACATAAAAACGAATATTACTATTAGAATGTAAATGGACCATCTTTCATGGAAGAATGGACTCCAGTGTGATTTTTTTTTTAATCTCCACATTCCTTTTAACATGCTGAGCACTGAATGAATCTCACTAGACAAAAGCCTTCCAATACATGGAATAATTACTTTTTCACATGAATTCATACATTGTTAAATACAGCATTGGATTTTTAAAAAATGGAACAATTATATTATAATTCAAGCTTGCTTTTATTTAAGGTTATAGGCAAATAAAAGTAGCAGTGAATAAGACCAGTCTTTATAAATAAGAATAGTTAAAAGATTAATGATTGCGTAAAGAGAGATTTTGATTTAGAATTTATTAACTTAATCTGATAGAGATAGATGTCCATCTTCGTTGTTATTATTTTTTACTTTCCTTGATAAAGTTCTCAAATGATCTTTGAAGAGTAGTGAATGTTTTATTAAAGTAAGCATTGCCTCGGCATAATGGAAATAATTGTGAGTGGTAAGAATAGAGCTCTGTATGTTGTCTAAACAGAACGAGATACTTTTGCTCTATTTCTAGAGCCCAGTTTTGTATGGGAAGGGTCACCTGTCTGTTCACACTAATTAAAGACTGGGAAGAGAGAGGAAAAGAAAGAAAGAAAACTTGAAATATTTCCCTCCAATGAAATTTAATTACATTATTATAACGTGGTGTATAAACAGGACTATGGTATATTTTTGAAAGGAAGTAAATGCTATGTGGTTGCCATGGACTTGTAGTATGCATCAGAGATGTATGAACTGGGGATGCTAAATTTACATTAAGCATGCATTTTAGTAGCAAATAATAACATCGCTCATTTTAATACAACATATGCAGGATAGTGCACAGCAATTCACTAAAATGGAAGAGGATATTTTAGTCCCAAGTATGCATTTTCTATGCATTCTATTTAACCTTATTGTGTGGATACACATGATCACTAATCTTACAGGACACTGTGCCATAAAGAAGATCTTAGGAATTTCTATCACATCTGCTTATAGTAATTATGACCATAATTAACATAAGAATTAGAAGTGAAGCGATGATGAGCTGAGCAATGAGGTATTATGGCATAATAGTCATATGTCGGTATTCTCACATTATTGCACACTAGAATTCACATATTCAATGCAAGAAAAGATGTTAGATTTTGAAGCATTAAGCAGCTGAAAAGGCCTCGCTGCCTAAGGCAGATGGACCTTTTTGATTTACAGGAAGGTAACCATTATTAAGAGAGCATCAGTTGAAATTAAGATTTATAGCCCCAAGCTTGGACTTTCAGACAGCTTTGATTATGAATAGTTCATCTCTCTTATACATTTTCATTCTGACCATCAAGAATATCATATATATTGCTTCCTTTTTTGTAAAAAAAAAAAAAGGAATGAAATGCGTTAATAGATATTTTTTATCAAGAAATAAGATATCATATAATGTATGTAGTAGGTCTGGAAAATAAGTACAAGGAATTTTGAATTAAATAGTTGGACAGAATTCTTTATTGGAATATGTGTTGTAGACCTGGGGACAATTCAGTTTCCCACA